ACTTTAGTCCAAATGGTAGACAAGTCCATTGGAAATGGCCCTCTTGTGTCACAAATCCTGTTTTATTCCTATCTTCAATTCTGAGTGGGATTGACCAAAAAGCAGAATTTATATCTAACGCCGAAAAGTATTTACAATTTCTTGTTTTCACCATTAAGTCTTCAATTAAAGGAAAGGCTTGGGCTTGAGGTATCACTATTTTGTTTAGGTCCCTAAAATCTATACATAATCGGGACTTTTTATTCTCTTCTCTTTTAAATGCTAAAGTTACCGGTGCAGCAAAAGGACTATACGATTCTTCTATTAATTTATTTTCTAAGAGTTTTGATATTTGGTTTTCTATTTCTTTTTTATCTTCTATATATAGTACTATAGTACATTTATAAGGTCTTTTGCAGCAATATTTATCCACCAATAAATCTATCCTTGCTTCATAGTCATTTACTGTTCCTATATCATATTTATCTTTGGCAAATATTTTTTTATATTTGTGGATCAGTTTTTCTATTTCAGACTTCTGATACTGATCCAAGTGACTTGTTTTTATATCAAAATTTTCTTTTTCAACATGTTCATTGAAGTTTACTTGATATTTTTTTAAATTTTCATTGTTATTTTTATTTTCAAAATCAAAATCCGTTTGTTTTTTTTCTTCATTATTAATTATGAAATTTTCCAATTTATTCTTATAATTGTTATGAGAAGAATTTGTTCCTACTTTATCTTTATTATTTTCAATTATAAAAATATCTTCTATTTTATTATCCATATGTTTTAAGTTTTTTTTCTGAGTTATTTTTAAATTCTCATCTTGGATTAATTTGAACATATTTATTATATCTAATCCTATTAAAAAATCATAATTGAAGTTTTCTCCATCAATAATATAAACATCTACATTTTTTTCCATTTCAAATATTTTTATTTTTAAAGTTGTCAAACCATTCGTTTTTTTAACACCATTAATTGTTATCAGATTTGCTTTGTTTAATTTATTTTCTTCTTTTATTTTTAATAATTTAGAATTTATTAAGGAGACATTTGAACCAGAGTCATAAATTCCAAATATTTCCAACTTATTATTTATTTGTAGTTTGACTTTAATTAATGGTGTACTTACTCGTTTTTTTTATCTGTTTCATTTAACTCAGCTTCAATTACCGAGTTGTTTACATGTTTTATAAAGTTTTTTTGAACTTTATTGTCCTCTTTTGTTCTGAACCAGCATGTAGCTTCAGGATGATATCGAGCACCTTTACCCAATTTTTCACATATTTTACAGGGTTTATAATCTTCCTGTTTACTTTTATTTTGAAAATTTACATTCCTTTTCTTAATCTAAGAATTTTTTTTATTTATTGTATATTCATATTTACTGATTTCATTAAATAAATCTACGGTATCTTTCAATGTTTCTCTATCGATTTTATTCAAAATGAATTCTGGTAAGCCAGCGGCAATAAGATCAATCAAAGTACCTGTGTCAATTGATCTTCTCATGTCCAATACAAGTTTTTCTTTTTTCATTGCATAATCCAATAGTGCACCCTCCTTGTATTTATAATTATAATTATAATTATAATTTATAGCGTAAGTTACAGAATTCCATCCTTTATTTGCAAATGTTTCACAAAATTTATTTTTTCCACTCCGACCATTTTGAGTTTATTGTTAATTTTATAATCATTCTCCTCCTTCGGAGGGGACTTTAAGCCGTCGGTCCGTTCCTACCCCTAACCCGCACAAGCCATTCAGTTGGCTTATCTTAGTTTGGATGTAAGGGTGGAACTAAAAGAGCACTTTATAACTTTATACCAATCTCCACAGGATTTATCCATAAATAATCTGAGTATTTCAATTTTTTTCTCATTTGATTCAACATTAAAACGAGTGCATTCTTTTTCAAAAATATCTATCCATTGATTAGCATTGGAATTTTTACTTGTAAATTTATCAATCACAAATTGGTCTGCTATATTTTTCAAACTTGCTTGTCCATTTGTTTGTGTATTTTCAATTAATTTTTCGACTATAGTCTATAGTCTATCCAATGTACCACGGCGTTCTCTATACGTTCTCTATATGTATAGAGAACGCCGTGAATGTACCCATCTCTTTCTTTTGTTGTTCTTGATCTATTTCTTCTAGAAATTGGTCTCCAAATTGTATATTGCCATCCTCATAAAAATAGATTCTTTTTGGTTCTTCTGTCATTGTTACTCTTCTGAATTGGTAGCTTTTCTTCAAACTATTTTTTAATTTATTATAAGCCGTTGTTTTTATTATTTCCTTGTGATGCCCAGCTGCTTTAAGTTCATCTGGCACTGCATATACTTTATATAATAGTAATAAATAAACAATCTTGTGTTTCTGTAGAAATAAAGATTTTTATTTTGTCTAATTTAAAGTTAATTACATATAAATTCTTACCTAGAAATAAAGAAACGACAATTAAAGTTTATTCTCTAATTTATCAATTTCTTTTCACAAATTTTATTAATTAAATATTAATCACTTTTTGTGAGACAGTTTTTATTAACTTGACAAAAGTGTCACTGTCAATACAAATTAAAGAAATATATTTTCTTTACATATATTTTCAAATATCTAAGGTAGTAAAAGCATACTAAAAATATCAGTTCACTAAGTAAATTAAACACATCCAATCAAATATAAAATATTATTAAAAAATAAAAGAAATAATTTGTATAACCATTTATGTGGGTGTTCTATCCTCCGTGAATCTGTTTTTGCTTTAAATTTTATGCAACGGATGGCGCTTTAATCATTTTTAATTAAGCAAAAACCTCTGTTTACGCATTATAGATGCATGTAATTCCTGAAGGTCAGTTTATTAATTAATTATATGCTGATGAGAGTGTTGCTGTTTTATAATTCAAAAGTTTATGTTGATAGCAGCAACAGCAGCCCAGCAGATTTGTATTTTGTAATAAAATAAAAAGTAATTCAAATTAAATTAAATTAAAATCAGTTAGAAAATGTATGTTTTTTAAATTAAAATTAATAAAATGAAAAAATAAGTTTTGTTTTTGCAAGTTGGTATCAATGTCCTCCCGAACCTCCTTTATGTTTTAAGACTATTTATGTTTAAGGATCTAAACCAATTTTATAATGACATTCAAAAAAAGTTTATATACAAAAGTGCTCTTTTAGTTTACCCGTACTTCTTAAGAAGTCCCATAAGCCAACTGAATGGCTTGTGCGGGTTAGGGGTAGGAACGGACCGCGGGCTTAAAGTCCCCTCCGAAAGACTATTACACAATAGGACAACACAAATAAACAGCCATACCCCTGGTGGGATTCGAACCCACGACCTCCGGCTTGTAGTCAGCAGCACTAACCACTAGACCACCGTCGGCGATTTCAAAAATGAAAAGTTAAAATTTGTTAATAATAAAAAATGATGATTTAAAGTTTAACAACCTTTTTAAGATGTGTTATAGGAAAACTAATTGTGAAAATATATATAATTTCTGTTAAAATATCCTCTCCTACACAGCATGGCGTTAGTGCGCCATTCTTAGCACTTCTTGGCACTTTAAAAAATATGTGACGAGGATGGTAGATTATTAACAACCCTAAACTAATAGACCCACCAGATTATCAAAGAGAAACATATCGTTACATGGTAAAAATTATAATTTTAATAATGCTTATTTATTCTCAGGATCGCAATAAATATAGAACAAGTCAAAATAAATACATTACAAAATATATTGTAAAATACAAAAAAAATAAAATAAATATAGCCTATACGAACTAATAACAATCTGTCTGAAGTCATATAAGGCAAACGACAAACTTCCTTTACCTAGTAAACAAATCGCCAACACTGTAAAAACATTTGCCAACAAGAAATTCTTTTAATACCTTTTAAAAAGAACGAATATTTGAATTTCTTGTTTGGTGGAAGTGCATAATAAATTTTAAGACCAAGTCTGGATGGACCAAAAGGTATTTGATAATGATTTTTATTACCAAGATAATGTTCATGTATGAAAGACTAACCTAAATCCATTCTTATTTAAATGTATATACACTAGGGTGGTCCTTATTTAGGGTGTGTTCGAATTTTTCTTCACGATAGTCCTAAATAGGTTCCAAATATATAAAAAAAATAATGTGCCAAATTGCAGCTCTTAATTTTAAAATTAAGCCGGCCCCCCGACAGCCAAAGTTTTAAATGGAAATAACATGGGAAAAGTTCTGTTATTACTTTGGATTTTTTTAAGTCATTTACATCTAATTTACACTAAATACACTTTGTGAGTTTGTAAACCTCCCCCAAAAGCATATGCCATATCGCAACCTCAAGTCTACTTGCGCGTAATACAGATTAACTAATTGATGCGGATTTTCTATGTTCTTCAATGATCTAAACATGTATGATATTGAATGTAAATTATAGACCAGGTAAGACATTCGTCAATTGTAACTCACAAAAATTTTGTCTCCTTGTTATTTTCAATGGTAAAAGTATCAATTTTCAGATTAATCTTGTTGATTATTTTTTGTCTATTGACATTAATATGCATTAGGCTGGGCCGAAAAAGGCAAAAAAAAATTATTTTTTGAAATCTTACTTGGCATAGTAAAAAAAAGTTGTAAGGGGGGTAGACAGTTTAGTTGATTTTTTTTCAAAATTTAAAAAAATGTTTTAGCCTCGCCCCCGGGGGGCTAAAAATTTTTTTTTTCAAATTTAAATTTTAGATTTGGCATAGCAAAAAACTGATAGGTATCGGCTCACTTGCGACACAAAAAAAATCTGGTTAATATATTTTAATTTTTAGCCGCGCCCCTTGGCATTTTAAGTTTCAATATGCAGCTCTTTGCTTGAAAAAATGATGATATATCATATATGATTAAATCGCGCACCAAAATTATTTTATTTTATATCAATCATCATTTAGTCAACCCACAACTCACCACGGGGAGTTGCACCCTCCCTTCCATCCCTTAGTATAATAATATACCTGTTTTTACTTTTCAACATTGTAGTATTGTTTTTTATTATCGAACATGGGTAAATTTTTTCTTGCCTCTATTTTAACCCTTATAAAACCGTCTCTTGAAGAGTGACCACAAACTTTACTGGATGCTTCGGTTATAATCTTTACGCATCGCTCCACAGCTTGAGTGTGACTTGGTAATTTGCTAAAATTAATAAAAGATTTATTTTCAATTGCTGCTAACAAATCTTCGCTTTTGATATCAATTGTTAGTGGGGGCTCTGTAATACAACATTCACTCCAATCTATCATTTCGGTATAGTCTTTGGCATTCCAATTTAAAGGTGGTATTTTAAATATTCGTAATTTTTTTGCTGCTGGTTGTTTTTTAGTCTTTAATATGCGTCGTATACCAAGTTCCCTAATATGACTTCTCTCGTTAGCAATCATAGCTATCAGAATATTCTCGGGATGGGCGAAATACGCGTTAGTTGAAATTACTTTATCAATAATTGTTTTGACTCCTTTAGGAAGGCCCCTTGACTCACTAATGGTTTTCCATAAATGTACCGAACCATATTTAATTGAAGATTGCGTTTTTATATTGAACCACATAGGTGCGTACACTTTCATAATAAACTGCACTAAAAGAAGTAAGTTCTCAGAAGGACTGCAAGTGGCCACATACAAGCGCAGTATTCAGAAGCTATGTCGCAGGCAGTACCAAATATTGGAAAAGTGTCTGCTTTCCTAGTTTTAACTTTATCCATATTGTTTTTAAAATAGATAAACCAAAAAACAAAACACCACTTAGTCTTATTGCACTTATTATATAACTAAATTACACCTATTATATAGCTAAATTGTACTTTTTATATAACTATAACTTAACTAAACTATAATTAAAGGAAAGTAATTATCTGTGCCCAAAGTACACTTATTTCACAACGCGTTAAAGTTACACTGTATCATTCATTTATATCACTTGTTTCAGTGGAAGGCGCCACGCAATTTCCACATGGCAGCAATAAAAGGGTGGTATTTATTTAGGTAACCTCTTTTGTTTACAATAGCGGGCTCGGTTATACGATGTTTAGTAAATATTAAGATTTTTATTCATTTCTTTTTCGGCTATAAGTGAGTAGGAAATGATCTATTTTCTTATGACAAGACAAAAATATAATATTTTAAAATATACCTGTTTTAAGGTCCCAGTGGCAAGGTTAAATATTAAAATATTTTAATCATTTTGTTTTTATGTCGTAATTGAGTTGACCCTACCAATTTTTTGGTATGCCAAACTGTGGTATTAAAAAATTATTTTTCATCCCCAGTTAAACGTCATGGGGCGCGGCTAGAAATTAAAATATATTAACCAATTTTTGCGTGTGTCATAAGTAAGCTTATATCTATCAGTTTTATGCTATGCCAAATCCAAAATTTAAATTTGAAAAAAAAAATTTTTAGCCCCCCGGGGGCGAGGCTAAAACATGTTTTTAAATTTTGAAAAAAAATCAGCTAGGTTGTCTACCCATGTTACAACTTTTTTTTACTATGCCAAGTGAGATTTCTAAAAATAATTTTTTCGGCCCAGCCTAATATGCATTAACTAACCTTGTGGAACTTCATGCTGGCGTACAGCATAATAACATGTTAAATTTCTGGGATACACTCCAGGAAAATTAGGCGACTGAAGTCGGCAGTGCTTTTTATCACAGTCACTGTATATTCTTGAACAATATGTGCCACTTATTAAATCTCCTAAGTAATAATCTGGTTCTGGTGTAACCAAAAGTTCCTTTATTGAAGGGGATGTGGTATTTATTGTTAATACTAAAGGAGAAACAGTTGCTAAAACAAAAAATAGTTTGATTAATTGCTAGTATTTGTTTATTTGACTTGTTTTATAAAACCTAAAAAGAAGTAAGAAGTCTTGTCTGGATTTTTAATTATTATAAATTTTCAAGAAAGGCTGGGGTACAACAGTACCCTGGGTAGTGTTTCAGGGTATAAAGGTCAGTTAATTTGGTAAAACATGGGTTTGGGGTGAATAGTATAAAAAACAATAAAATAATGGGTAAATTAGCAAATAGTCCCAGAAAAATGATCAAAAATCGCTGGTTTCATGGTACAGTCTAAAGATGTCTCCAGACTGACTTGCCAATGCATCTCACCGCTGTCCTGATCATTTATATCTTTATAAGTAAACAGTGCCGAGCTTGATGCGTGTCTCCCGTCACTGACTGCCTGACACTGATGAGACCCAACAGGTCGAAACAGTCTGTCTGTCAGTGTTGGTGGGTATGGTGCATTAGTCATTGGACCATACCAATCGGGAGACGCGCTTCTAGCTCGGCTGGGTGGCGAGATGTGAAGGATTTTAGTCTTTGCAATATTGGTTGCCTACTACTGGCGTAAAGTAGAAAACTTATTGTTTCTAAAATATTGCCGCTTGGCTGGTCAAAGCTAGTTAGACTCTTTTGGGCCGCGTACGGTTTGATAACCACCGCCCTCGGTGGTGTAGTAGTTAGCACTGCGGACTACAAGCCGAGAGGTCGTGGATTCGAATCCCACCAGGGATATGGCGGTTTATTTGTATGTGTCAGTGTACTCCTGTAAATGGGCCTGGTGCCATATTAAAATAATAATAAAACCTACCCCGGTGTGTGTCTAAGTGCATTGTGATTGCACGCCGCACAGCGAGGCCACGTCTTTAGATGTCTCCAGACAGACTTGCCGATACATCTCGCCGCTGTCCTGATCTTCGATTTCTACGCTAGGGTGGCTAAATACTGTAGAGTTATTTTCTATGTAAGCTGCTTCTTTAAACTTTTTATAAACCAGTTTTCTTCATGCATGTTCGGCGATTCCAGATTTTGTTGTTTCTGCTTTTTAAGTATGGGTTTTATGTTTTTTTAATCTTACTTCCAAAGGACGTTTAGTTTCACCCACATATAATTTTCCACATTCGCATGGTACCTGGTATATGCAGTTCTTTGGGTCTAGTTTTAGTAAGTTTACTCTTTAATGTTGTGGCTGTTTTTAGATTATATGTTTTGGCTATTCTCCTTATTTCTTCTGAGGTTTTCTTAATATATGGGATAACTAGAACGGGCTTCTGGTCATTTGCTTCCAGGGTCCCTGGTTTCTTCGATTCATTGGAAATCTTATCTATTACCTCCCAGAGAAACTAATGGATAAGATTTTCAGAAATAGTAGGTGTTTCAGTGGAATTAATTTAAAAGGCGTATTGAACATAGTAATTTTGATTTTTTAGATGATTTTTTTTATATTTGATAATAACTAACCAATGAATTTGCCTAAAATTGAAGTAAAAAATACAATTATTACATAAATAACTTCGACTTTGAATAACTTTGAACTCGTTGGTTTATAGAAAAATGATAGGAAACATTTTTGGAGAGCGTTCAAATTCCCACATGAATATATATCGCGCTTAAAAATCTGTTGATTAGTTTGTGATATAGAAAATTATAAAGAAAGAAAACAAAATTTCCCATGTTATTTAAATGGGAAATAGAAATTTTCGATGCGCGACCTCTAAATACTAAAATTAAGAGCTCCGGTTTTCACAGGTGTCTTTTTTTGGTACCGTGAAAAAATTCAGTGCGAAATTTTAGAAAAAAAAAATGTTTGATTCGGATTGTTTTCGTGAATCTTTGCTAAAACAACAATTATTGTAAAATTCTGTCTAAACAATTGTTACAAGTGTTTGTGTATTCTCCAAGGTTAGTTCTTAATTTTAGTAGCCCAATTATGTAGTAAAGTCTACTAAACGTAGAACGATTTAGATTTAAATAAACTGATCATTAGTTATTTTGCACTACTACGTTTAGTGAATTTTACCCGATATTAACACCTTTTGTTTTAGATATTTTTATAAAATGTTTTTGCCTTTTAAGTTTACTGCTGAATGTAAAAATTTATATTCCTTTATTTTATTGTCTTAGGCTTAATTTAGTTGTATACTGTCCCTGTACCTCAAATGTTTAGACCTTCCCCAACATTATTATGCATTTTTTGCGGTAATTTTAAAAACAAATATTATTGTAATACAGGACGTTTCGTTGCTTAAAAGGGGGTATTGACCGTTAATTTTAAACTTTGAATGCTCCTTTTTCTTTAGTACTTAGTTTGCAGTAGATACTAAAATGCTCCCATCCGTGAGGGATAACTGGTCACCTAGGTTCTCTAGGTGGCATCGCAACTTTTATCCCGAAACTTCATCTTTACGCGAGTTGCTTCCAGTGTGGACCTCGTTCTCCACAGGGCAACGTTAACGTTGACAGACCAACAGTTAACTGCCCTGTTAAACTAACAACGTTTTTCCTATTTTTGAACCTGTAGGGGGTAGATAGTGTAACGAGCGTCGTGTCATTCCATTGATTTGCATAAACTTTTAAAGAAATAATGCCTAATCGTGTAATCCTTTGCTACTTCATAGCCGAACAGGGTTTTTTCTCAAGCTCTTTTTCCCTGGTCGTATCTCCCTAAGACCCACCCCTTGTTTTTTTTAACTGTTTGTAAAGTAAATTGGGGTAAACTAAACACTGTATTTTATTTTTTTGTATACCTAATTTTCCCAAGTATGATTCTTAAAGCAATGTATTTAATAAAACAAGTAGGTAAACACAACTTAGAGGTCAAAATTTTGATAAGACGATGACGAGCCATAGTCAAAAAATAGTTAATTTATTAATTTTTCATAAAACTTGTTTTTACAATATATATATATATATATATATATATATATATATTATCTTCTTTTAAAAAAAGCACAAATTTATTTAAACATATAAATTACAATATAAAATTATTAAGTACTTAATGTTATAAGACTGAGTATAATACTAAATTTATATAGTCAAATAAGTGAACTATGATATATTTTTCTCGACGAAATGTTTATTAATAAGATTATCCAAATCTCTTGAACATTGTTGAAGTTTGTTGTTGGCAATTTCCAATTCTTTCATATTTAAGTTATTGATTTTTAAAGGTTCTAATTTAGGGAGTTCTATATTGTCTGGAACATGAGTACAACAGATGTATGGAACGAGAACGGGTTGAGGGTTTTCAATTCCGTTGGATGTCTTGCTAGCTTCTGCTTGTATTTTTGTAATACCGATGGAGGCTTGGCATACTGGTTTAAGTTTTAACAAAGAGTTTTTGTTTATTAACAATGTTTCAGAGTTTATGTTTTGGCAGTTTATGGATACTTGAGCAGTTTCGGTCGCACTAATTAACCATGTCTTTTAAGTTTTGCACATTATAACCTTGTCCGTAAATTAAGGCACTATGACAGTTATTCGGAACGTTCATGTTGGTTTTTAACAATTGCACTTCACACGCGTCGTTATTGCCTATTGGGTATGCATACATGTTGGAGCACAGTTTTCTTCCTGGTGATAGCTGCTTGCATTCTTCTGGATTATTGACGGGGATGTACATTAAAGAATCATCGTTTCGCGCGATATATTTTTGACTTATTGACAAAACGTGATAAAGACCAGTTCTTTCATCATTCATTCATTAAAGGGATTTTTAGAACAAAAACAAGATCATGATTTGTTTGGTACGCTTGGAGTTCTATGATTTCCAAATACTGAGCT